CAGGCACTCGAGTGAAAGGAGGGGGAGGTGGCGAGAGGCAAGCAAGAAATCAAAAGAAGCAGAAAAAAAGAAAAAAAAGAAAGCAACACCAGCAGCCAACAAATGGCACTCACAGAGCCAGCTAGTGCGGGCTGGTGTTTTTGGACAAGAGACTGTGTCCGTGGGAAGCAGAGGAGGCCGAGTGTGGGTAAAGAAGGATAGAGAGTGGGAAATCGTATATCACAAATTGCCGGTGCTCTGCAGCCCCTCAGGAAGAAGCAAAGGTGGCAAACGGAGCCAGGCACTCGAGTGAATGGAGGGGGAGGTGGTGAGAGACAAGTGAGAAATCAAAAGAAGCAGAAAAAAAAAGCAACACTAGCAGCCAACAAATGGCATCCAGAGAGTCGCCCGCTTGGGTGTGTGGAATCCAAGCAGCCGGCACTTCCCGGTCAAGAGATCGTGGCCGCGGGAAACAGAGGAGGCCGAGCCGGGGTGAAGAGGGGTGTGGGGTGGGAAAGCTCACACCACAAATTACCAGTTGTTTTGTCTCCTGCTGGATGCTCTGTGAGGCTGCTTTCTCTTACCCCCGTTTGCTGGTCTCTGATAGGAGTCCAAGATGGTGGATCCGCACTGCGTTAGCTGGTAGGGGACCTCTGCATGAATCTCTCCTCGCCTCTGTTCTCTGTCAGTTTTCTCACTCCATTTGGTGCTTGGCTGAGTGCTTTATCTCTTCATTTGATGTTTTAGGGTTTCAGGATTGTTGTATTCTCTATTCGGCTTAGTTTTTCGGATCTTTGCTGTGGAGGGATGGCGTGGTGTTTCTGCCTAGAGCGCCATTTTGCTGGAACTCCATAATACCCTTTATTCTTGAAGGATATTTTTATGTCTAGAATGCTAGATATGTAGGTATTTTCCTACACCACTTTGAAGATGTCATTCTACTGTCCTCATGCTTTCACTGATGTTACAGAGGAGGTCAGCTCTCTGTATAACAGTTGCTCCTCTGAAGGTGATCTCTCTTTTTTCTCAGTTTGTTTCTAAGCTTTCCTTCTTGTCTTTGCTTTTCTGCAGTTCCTTGAGATGTGTCTACATGTGAAATCCTGTACATTTATTTCACTTGGGACTTGGTGTGCTCTTGAGTCTGTGAATTAGTCATTTATTTGTTTTGGTAAATCTCACCCATAATTTGTTCAAATATTGAAGCTGCTTCAAATCTATATTAGATGTTTTCATGGTATTTTGTCCTTTCTGTTATGTCTGTATTTTCCATATTTTCTCTCTCCATGTTATATATTGGATCATTTCCTCTGTTTTAACTTCGAATTTAGTAAATCTTTTACTGTTGTCAATTATCTCCATTAAAATTTCAATATTGGATATTCTTGATCTACATTCTAGAATTCTATTTAGTTCTTTTTTAAGGATATAATTTACCTTTTACAGTTTCATTTAAAATATAGATATTTCCGTGTTTGTTTTTAATTTCTTTTAAGAAATGTGCTAATTTCAAATTCTTCAGTAAGGGAGACATTTCTTTTGTCTGTCGTTCTGCCGGTATTCATGTTCTTCTGGTTCATGAAGTATTGTGTCCTTGAAGACTGAGAAATCACAGACAACATGATGGTACTGACCCCTCAAAAATATTTTTGGGGATTCCTGACACCTTAGAATGGATGTGTTCCCCTCTAGTGGAGTTTTAGAGTTTCTGCCAGGTGCTTGGCGATTCTCCAGTAGGTGGAGCAGCTAAAGTAAGTTCAGTGTTGCCAAGATCCAGACCCACTCAGACCATGCATAGGTGAGGTGTGAATCCATGTGGGAATTGATCTGCAGTCCCAGCTTCCCAGGGAACTTTTCATTTTCACCCTCTTCCTTTCCCTTTTCCTCTCGTGTTCTGCAACAAACTTAGGCAGTTCTCCTTGCAGTTCCATGCTATGGTGATCAGAAAAGTCCTAGTTTGTCTTTGGGACTATCTGAGGGTAGATCCTCCAGGGTTCTCAGGTTAATGTAGGATTAATTTTCCTCAGAAATCACACCTATATGAGCTCAGGGGCCCCACTTCTACTACTCTGGCATTACATGGTCCTGAAAGCCCAATTCACTTCTTTGTAATATCCTAGATGCCTTCAGGACAATGGGTTTTACTACTTAAATGTTTCTTTGTCACATGAAATCCGTAACTCCTATTCCGGTTTTCAGTGTCTGTATACATAGACATTTATATCTATTTCTCTATCTAGATATAAATATAGAGATATGTAGATGTATCTACATATCTACGAGTGGATATATGTATCTATATGTATTGCTTGACTTATGATGCATTTGAGTTACCATGAACTGCATTTACAACCATCTGTGGAACAGGTCATAGATCACAATGAAGGGGAACTGAGAGATCAGGATGTAATGGATTTTGAAGAGGAAAGATCTGCTAAGAAGAAAGAAATAATGAGCAAGAAAAAAGAAGTTTTCAAAAAAATTTACAGTGAAAGGATTAGTTGAAATTCTTTCTAAACTGAATCAGGGACTTCAGGTGCTTGAATACATGGACCCAAATGCTGATAACTTTGCTGAAGTCAACAGGTAGACTGGAGAAGGAGTGAGATGTTACCACGAAATATATAAAGAAAAAAAGGAAAAGGGCCATACAGACAACTGTCACTAATTTTCTGAGTAGAATTGCTATCCCCATTCCCAGGGATAATCCAGGTGATCCAGAACCAGGGCTTCATACCTGTTTGTTAGGTTTGAACTCCTGCTGAGAATTTACATTTCCACCCCAGATATACTGAATTACAATCTACATTTTAAGAAGCTTCCCAGATTATTCTTATGTATCATAAATTTTTAGAACCTCTGCTCTACTAGTGTTTCTCAGAATTGGTCCCTAACTAGCAACAATAGCATTGCCTGGGAACTTGTTAGAAATGCAAATTATCAGCAGGGATTCCAACAGGAACTACTACTAGTTCAAAGCCCTGTCCAGCACCTTCCCCAAGTGGTGTTATTACTGCAACTGACAAAATGCCAACACTGTCCCACTCTTATTCATCGTTGGAGTTAATTTTTTTGATTTATGTATTTTTTATGTATGTATTAAAATATATCTGTAAGTTTGTGTGAAATGTTTGCAATCCCAAAGAAAAATAAAGATCGGATTTATAAATATACTTACAATAAAAGGCAATAATAATGAAAACTAAAATAAAAGAGGTATTTGAGTTAGCTCATATATTTGGAATGCTGTGATAGTAATGGAACCCTGTCATAAGTCGGCACTACCTGTATACATAAAGAAATGACTGTGTTATGCAAACAGTTAACAAACTTACTGCTAATCAAACATTGGTGGAGCAAGCACCCAGAGGTGCACATGTAGAATCACCTAGATTGCAGTCAATTTGATGGCAACTGGTTTGATTTTTTGTTATATACGTGTGTGTGTATGCATATATAGATACACATACATAAAGTATAAAGTAATATATTCATAATTCTATTTCAGACACTTTCTTTTTTAGATTTTTTGTTGCTTTTGTAAGACAGCTATTGATTTTGAAACTATCTTTTACATATTAACTTCCTCCTGAATTCCTAAAGAAATTATATTTTCTAAATTGATTTCTTCATCTATCATTGTCAAAAGGAGCCCTGGTGGTGAAGTGGTTAAGAGCTTGGCTGCAAACCCAAAGGTCGATAGTTGAAATATGAGGCAACTGATAATATCATGGCTTGGATCAGGCACACATTAGTCCTCAAAGTGACATCTTTGCTTTTTAACACTTTAAAGAGGTCTTTTGCAGCAAATTTGCCAAATGCAATACATTGTTCGATTTCTTGACTACTGCTTCCCTGGTTGCTGATTTTGCATCCAAATAAAATGAAATCCTTGACAACCAATAGTTTTTCTGTTTATCACGATGTTGCTTATTAGTGTAGTTGTGAGATTATTTTTTTTAATGAGGTGTAACCCATAGTGAAGGCTGTAGTTTTTGATCTTCATCAGTAAGTGCTTCAAATCCTCCACACTTTCAGCAAGCAAGATTATTCTATTTATCTTATTTTCTTGGAGGTCAAGAATCTCTGACTTCTTGGTGTCTTTATCCCTAAAAAAATTATTTGTGAGGTTTCCTGAAGATTTATGATGGGTATGCCCTCTCCCAGAGGAGCTCCCGTTTGTTGGCCCTACCAGTAGGGCTACCTTAAACCAAGTTCGAGACTGAAGAGTTTCAGGTACACCGACGCCATGCATACCTAGAATGAAACTCCTTGAAGGGTTGGTGTTCAATCAGAATTTCACAAGGAAATCCTCTTTTTTTTTTCCTGTCCCTTTCCACTATGAACTTAGAATCCACTTATCAGTTCCTAGACATGGGCATGATAGGTTCCACTTTCTGTTTGGTTCACATTTCCTTTGACATTAGAACCCATCTGAGCCCTAACTCAATACTGGGTTTCTGAGGCCTTATCATATGATAAACTCTGGGCCTGTCTTCCATTTCTCTGGCCCTTGCATAGCCCTAGAATGCAATCTTATGTGTTTGCAGTATCTTTAAAGTATCCTTCAGGATAAAAGCTTCTTTAGAGCTCAGACATTATCTAGCTATAAATTCTTATCAGAAAGTTAGGCAAAAATTTCATATATTTTTCTATTTCCTTTGTTAATTTTCTCCAGCATTTTTTTGTATTATTTCACAGAACTGTTGATTTCAGGAAACTAGTACATAATTTAAGGAACCTGAACCCATTTAAAACTGTTTTTGAGTTAAAACAGAAGCTATGCATTAGATTTCGTATGCATCATGCAGTTTTCGATCAGTTGCTAACCTTTGAACATACCCAGTGGTAGCATGGAAGAAAAGCCTGGTGATCTGCTTCTATAAAGAATACAGGCAAGAAAACCCTATGGAGCAGTTCTGCTGTGTAATATATGGGGCCTCCATGACTTGGAATTGACTGGAATGCAAAAGGCTTTTTTTTTTTTAAGTTGATATTAGAGCTTCTAAGTCATTTTTGTGCCTTTTCTAGTCATAAAATTATAACTTTCTGTGATATTTTTGGCTCTTCATGTATGTTGGTTAGTTTCACAACTCACTGCCTGTGCAATTTCCTTTCAGTTCACTGATTGCTTTGCATAGACCCTCCAGGCCCAGGCTGGCTGATCAGATTTTATAAACAGGACCTTTGCAATGTGAGCTGATCAGCATCAGGCAGGCAGGGGCAGCAAGATGGTGCCACAGACTCTGTTCCTCTTGTCCCTGTTGCTCTGGGCCTCTGGTGAGAAATTGAAAGTACTTCAATCCCTCTAGAGTAGTATCTTTATAGAGCTGAAAAATTATTTTAAGATATAGTGGGAAATGATGGTTATTTCCAAAATGGAACCAATTATGTGCAGATATGTAATATCACTAGACACTGTTGTATAAATGGTATATTTCAACATGCCTGTGAAAAAGTGTGTGTTTATGTGTATGCACGGTGATTGTCCACTCTGATTGCAGGTGCCAGTGGGGACGTTGTGTTGACCCAGTCTCCAGCCTCTCTGGCTGCGTCTCCAGGAGAAACGGTCACCATGAACTGCAAGTCCAGTCAGAGTGCAAGCGGCTATATAAGCTGGTATCAGCAGAAACCAGGACAGGCTCCTACGCTGTTCATCTACAGTGCATCTGACCGGGCATCTGGGGTCCCTGAGCGGTTCAGCGGCAGTGGGTCTGGGACAGACTTCACTCTCACCATCAGCAGCCTCCAGGCTGAAGATGCCGGAGTTTATTATTGTCAGTATGGTTATGGTTATTATAGGTATGGTACCACAGTGCTTCAGCCTCGAACACAAACCTCCTCCCCAGGGCTACAGGGCAGTTAGTGTTCACTGCACCAGCTGCTTCCTTTCTGCTCAGCCCTGAACACGCACACTTCCTCTGTCTGTCCCAAAGTCCACATCTCCTGACTAATTCCTTGGGGTATTCGCAGGACCCAGGAGAAAATTAAGTGATGTAGCTTCATCTGTATCCCCTTTTGTGGTAAATTACTTATGAAAAATGCTGTAAAAATGTCTCCTAGGCTTTGTCAGGAGTTCTCATGCCACAGGAACCTGCGTGTTTCACATGGATAGATCACATGACTGACTCTGGGAAGGATCCAGTGAGTTTTATAATCTGAAAGATAAGTTCTGTCTTCCCTGTGCCTTCTTAACTCTGGTGTGTTCCCATTTTAATTTCTTTTTTCCCTGCCTTTTTCCTTTCTTTGCAACTACTTCTCACAACTCTGAACCTGGTCCAATAGTAAACCTGGGCCCTTCATATTTAAAATCTCCTCTATAGGAGGTAGTATTCCTCTCTTACTTTTTCCTTCCACGGATCCTGTTTTCCAGCCAAGCCTTCCTGGTCAATGTCACTGAAGGAGTTTCCCGCTCTGCCTCCCATTTTACTGCCCTTTCTTCCTCTCTCCATTTCTTTCAGTGGTTCTCATTCTCACACAGGCCAGTCTCTAATTCATTAACCCTCTCCCTCTAGAACTATGTGACACCTTTCCCATGTTGTTTTACATTCCTTGTCAATTTCCTCTTTAAATTGATCCCTTGGGCACCCAAGTTTAGTGACTGAAGGAAAGAATGGTTCTTCCTTGTAGTTAGCCACCATCTTGTCAGCCCCTGACTCATGACAACCCCATGCACAATAGAATCTGACTGTTGTGATCCATAGGGTTTTCATTGGCTGATTTTTCAGAAGTAGATCACCAGGCCTTTCTTCCTAGTCTGTATTAGTCTGAAAGTGCTCCTGAAACCTGTCCAGCATCAGAACAACACACACAGAGGAAGTGTGGTAAATGAGGCCCGCATATCCCTGCTCAGGTTTATGCTGATGCCAGCCCAGGTAGTGTTTCCAGTCAGTGTAGACGAGACTCTGACTGGCCCTGCTGCTAACAGAGACTTTCTGTCCTTGGGAGACAGCCAGAGATTCTGGCACCTACTGAGCAGGATCTGCCTCCTGGAACCTAAAATGACAGGGACAGTAGGAGGATCCAGAGATGCTGTGCAATCAGGGATAAAAAGAAAATCAAACCCAAATGATCTCTAACTAGGACAAGTGGACAGGCCTGTGTGGCTTGTAACATTTATTTCCTGTCTCATTTCAAATTGTAGACCTATCTGAATAGGAGGATCACTGTGGAGAGAGAACTCCATCTCTAGGTTCCATCTCACCTGGAACACAGTAAAGCAGGAGCCTGAGGATCTGGATGATGCTCCCATCTAGCAGCTTCTCTTATGTATGTATTACTCAGACTCCATCCCCCAGGAAAGGCTCCTTCATAGCTTTATTTTTTCAATTTTTTATTTTGTTGTTGTTGTTGAGAATTTACACAGCAACACATACACAGATTCAGCAGTTTGTATCCTTTATAGCTTTTTATGAGTCTCAGGTCAGCAGGGCTGAGCTCAGGGTCAGGTGTGGGTGAGGGGACATGTATGCAAAGAACCATGGAGTACAATGGTGAAAGTTTTAGAGCATAGAATTATGGTAAAAAATATTGGAAGCTGTACTTTTCTTTCTTTTTATATATGGCAGTACTATTTGAATATACCAAATACTATTTTTGTGGATTCTCTGATGGAAATAGTTACATTTCAGTTTCCCTGTTATAGTTGCTGAAGATCCCTCGGTGGTGCAAATAGTTTGCCCTCTGCTACTAGCCTGAAGATTGGGGGTTGGAACCCACCCAGTGGCATTGCAGAAGAAGCCCTAGTGATCTGCTTCCATGAAGATGATAGCCCAGAAAACCCTACGGAGCTCAGCTCTGTTCTGTAACACATGTGGTTGCCATGAGTTGGAACCATCTCAATGGCAACAGGTTTGGTTTTTGTGGGTTAAAGCTACTAGGAATGGAAACATATTCTTGAAGAGCACTTATTGAAATTATTTATGTGGAAATTGTACTAATGCTCAATTCACAGAGTCAAAAATATTTGCAAAGAGAATGGCAGCAACAGAGGCCTCCAATATCCAATGTGCCGTGACTGGTGTCCAGTCTTGGTGGAAACAGTAGGGCTATTCACTGCCTGTCTGTGGTTGTGGTGGGATCCTAGACAATTTCTTTCTCTGGTTTGCTGTGGACTGTGTTTATGCCAGCTGGTTTCTTGTACATTTTCTACACCGTGTTCCTTAGACTTTCAGTCAAATCTGTTAAGTCATCCAATAATCATTTCATTTTCTGCTTTGTTTAGACTTGGTTGGTTTCTGTGGTTTGCAACCAAAAGCTCTGACTGATAAAAATACGTTTCCATATTTGACAATGTCAGATCTTTGTTAAAATTTCTTTCCTTTGAATATTTATGGTTATGCTAACGACCTTACATTGCTAATTTTTAGTGTTGCAAAAAAAAATTGATTGTAGTATATTACTTAAGGTTGTAATTGTAAGTGAACTTGATAGAATTTATGTTTTCATTTATTTATCTTTTCACTATGCAATTATTAAACAAATACTAATTCACAATCTACTACCTGGTGTACTCTTTTGGGTATTAGTGTTACATTACTGGTGGTAACTAATTTAAGATGTGAGCATTGCTCTCAGTTCTGTAAGTGAAAGTAATACAGGCATCGATTAAAGAATGCCAAAAAAAAAAAAAAAAAGGTTAACTTTGAGGTAAAAGATGTTTGTATGAGATCAGTTATTAGGAAGGTCTCTCTAAGTGTCTTTTTTTTTGAACTGTTTGAATATTTTCTTATTATTAACTTTTTTCTCTCTTTTTTTTAATATGTAACTTTAGTTGCAATTCCTATAATGTGACAACACACTCCCCCTCTCCACCCCTGGTTTCTTGTGTCCATTCAACCTGTTCCTGTCCCTCTCTGCCTTCTCATCCAGCCTCTGGACAGGAGCCGCCTGTTTGGTTTAGTGTATCTGCTTGAGCTAATGATAGTCTTCACAAGTATTATTTTATATTTTAGAGTGCAGTCTAATGTTTGTCTGAGGAGTGATCTTCAGGAATGGATTTTGTTCTGGGTGAACAAAGCGTCTGGGGGTCTAAGTGTCTTTTGTGTTTATCTTCTATATAATGGAAAGATTTGGAAGGTTTTTGCAGGCAGATAACGTGATCGAATTTGCTGTTTAAAAAGATCACGCAGGTTTCAGTGGAGTACACTATCAAGAGAGGCAAGACTAGATGCAAGACCAGTCAGGAAGCTATTTCAGGAATCCAGCTGGTGGCTTGGTCTAAGGCCATGACGGGGGAGATGGATTTGGGAATATGGGGGGTTCGAAATGGACCAAAAACAAAAAAAAAACAGAAAAAAAGACTAAACTCAAACTGTTGCTGTCGAGTCGAGTGAAACTCACAGTGACCTTAAAGCACAGAGTAGAACTGCCCCATAGGGTTTCCAAGGAGCAACTGATGGATTTGAAACACCATCCTTTTGGTTAGCAGCCGAGCTCTTAACCAGGGCACCACCAGAACTCCACTTGGTGATGGACTGACTGTGAGGGTTGAGGTACAGGGTAGTTCCAAGGATGACTCCAGTGTTTCTGGATTTCACAACTGGATATGTTGGGGCTTCTTCTCTAGGGAGGGGTTTGTTAGGATTGAAGTATGGAGGAGATGAGGGAAGAGTTTGAGTTAGATTTTAGAGAAAATGCATTTGAAGTGCCTTGAGACATACAAGAAGAAATTTTAAAGTTTCTAATTTAGAAGAGATCCCTAAACTGGAGATATAAGTAGGTACAAGATATACCCCTTATGCCCAGTAATAAGAACATTGATAGAATTAAAGCTCTCTAGTATTAATTAAAAAAAAATTCATCCATTTATTCAGCAAATATTAATTGACCAAATAGTGCCTGGTACTGAGCCTGCAGCTCTGTGAAGATAATTTTTTTTTTTTTTAATATTTTATTGTACTTCAGGTGAAGGCTTACAGAACAGATAGTTTC